CCATGTGGATGGCACTGTTCCCTCCCTATAGATCCTATTGAATAGATCCAATAAGAACGTTTGGGAGGTCTCCGGTAAGTGAGATATCATTTGGTATGGAATATCGTCACTTCCTAGGGCAGGCTTACGGCAGAGCTGCAAAGCAGAATCCATCTCCCTGCACAAAAATGGTAAGTTGTATGGAAGTTCTGCTGCAGTGATATTGAAGAACGATATTGGGTATCGATCCTGTTCAGCCTGAAGAATGGAGAATCGGGTAGTGTAAGATATTCCAGAGGAGATCTCTGCCATAGATTTTGCTAGCTCATTTGCAACAAATGTTTTGTCTGTTTGATTTATGCCATCTATCCTCAGAGCAGGTGGTGATATGGATGTGTTCTTTCCAGCGATCTTATGCACCTTGTCCCATACCCATGCTAAGAGGGTCCCAGAGTTAATCAAGGAGACATACTGCCTCCTCGACGTCTGTCTAGCTGCCTTTAGCGCTCGACTGGCCTTGGCTCGTGTCTTATTGTATTGGATCAAGGTTACATCATTTGGGCGTCGTTTCAACTGCCTTAATGCAGCTTTTCTTGCTCTGACAGCTTGTTGGCATTCATAAGACCACCATGGTACCAGAGTTCGAAGATACTGCTTGCTACTTCTGGGAACTGATGCCGCTGTTGCAGGGTGAATTCGTGATGTGAAATGATTAACACACTGGAATTCATTCACAGATACTTGCAATACTGTAGTTGATCTAAAAAGATTCCAGTCTGCATGTTCAAGTCGCCATCTCTGCACTTCATTGGCTGGAATACCATTCACCTTCTCCAAAATTGTTGGAAAGTGGTCGCTTCTATAACCTGCCAAGTGAAATTCAACTGTGAATCAGGTGAACCAAATAACAGGCTCAGGATTTCTTTGCTTGGGAAAGGACAGACCTGAGCCTTCGGTTCAGGAGCACTCTGCCTGGTGGCAGGGCTCCAGAGGAGTCTTTTGAACAGGCTCAGGACATACCTGAGCCTTTGCTTCAGGGGCATTCTGCCTAACAGCAGAGGCCCCTGTGGATGTGGTGGCAGCTGGAGCTGTCACTCTTGAGGCCTCTGGAGCCTTAACTGACGTCTCCAAAGACTGTGCAAACAGCATAGGGGCACGTTGCTTTGCTTCTGCATAACTAACTTTCTCCTTGCTCCTTATTATCAATATTTCTTTTTTCAAACTTGTACCTTTTACATTGCTTAGAAGAAGCTTTATGATCTTTGCTGTGGTAACAGCATATTGAACCTGGACAGTTGTTACCTCCTTGATGACCTGTTGTACCACACTTCACACACACTCTTGGTTGTCCATTTTCCTTAAACCAGCAAGTATTTGCTCCATGCCCATAACCCTGGCGGTGGAAGCACTGCATAGGGTTGGGCACATATGGCTTTACCTTGAGATGGTACCATGCTAACTTAACCAATTCAGGAAGGACTAACGATTCAAAAGTTAGAAGAAGAGCTGGTGTCGGCTGTTCCAAACCATCAACCTTCTTCTTAAAATGTTTTACTACCACTACTTTTAAATTCTCTAGTTCTAACAGATTCTCTCAGAATACCTCATCACGTCTCAGGAAAAGACAATTCCCTTACACTGATTGAGAGTTTTGTGAGAACATGAGACTTGAGCCCCCAGGAATGTCACATATTGCATGCGGATGGTCACTCTCGTCTGATGGCGAAACCTCAACTATCAGGCTACCATCTTGCTGTGGGGTGATGCAAGGATCATGACACACCTCAACTATCTTACAATGTACTTCAAAAATATCAAGATCCATGATAGATACACCATCGATGGTCTTCACTACTAAGTATTTATTTTAGGATACTCTTTCATATTTACCAGGTAAGAGTTCCTTAATGGATTGAGGAGGACTTTTCTCCTCCTTACCTGGTTTGGGAGCTCGGGAACCATTGGAATTCCCATTCTTGCCCTTCAGAATCTGGTAAGGTTTCAGAGTGACAATATACGATATTCCAGAGGGATTAGCCAGGGGATTGCGAAGGTCGTCAGGGAGAGAGCAAGTTCTTTGTAAATTTGCAGAAATCATACAAATAAATCACCTACCCCCCCCCCCCCTACACACCATGGAGTCTAACGAGGGGAAGCTATAGTTGGGGCTCAATGTATGCAGTCACAAATATTGTGCTGATGGTAGTCATGGGACCTATGGCTACCAACTGCACAGTACCAGCTTGACCCTAGCCGTATTTGACCAGCCGATTGACTTGACCGGGCCTTGGTCAAGCCACCCGTCTGACCAGAATAGAGGACCAAAGAGGCGTGTTGCTAGCTGCAGGGCGCAGCGTGCAGCATCGCTCAACCTCCAGGACTCCTGTCTCCTGGTAATACGGGACGCCACGCACGGCAGACACACGTGGGAGAGTTCTCCCTGGTCCAAGATGGAATGAACCAGAGGTGGGTGCACCATCCCCTCTCATAGGCCTTGGTGCACCAGGAAGTCATTTTGTCCCATCCCTCACTGGTGACCCCTCCAGTGTGGGTTGCCCTCTGGTCCGGCTCACCAGCTCATAGGGACCTCAAGCCCTCCCAGCACGGCAAGGCGGCTTCCGTTAGGGAGGATTCATTGTGGAGGAACACTGGACAATATCAAAGTCACTGATGATGTTGCTAACTATCAAAATCTCTAGTCACTGGTGGCGGCTCTTGAAGCAATGAGGTGAAGCCCAAGGGCCTAGAGGTCTCCTGGACCAAGACCAAGATTCAGGACTTGTTAGGGGAACCCATTCAGTTGTGGTGAGGACGTTGAAGTCACAGAGAGCTTTGCATAGCTTGGTAGCATTGTCCATATCTCTGTCAGACCAAGAAGTCAGTAGACAGATTGGTCTGGCAGCAGGAGCAATGAACTCGATCAACAAGATTATTTGGAGATGTCGGTACCTATGCAGAAGGACCAAGAAACGTGTCTTCAAGGCCTTGATACTGCCAATTTTGCTCTATGGAAGCGAAACCTGGACGGTATCTTGTGCTTTGGAGTCTCTTCTTGATGCCTTTTATAAGAAGTCTCTTCATCGTATCATAGGGTACAGTTGGCAGGACCATGTGTCCAACCGATGGCTACACCGTGAGACTGGCTTGGGACCTGTTACTTGCATAATCCAGGATCGCCAACTCAGGCTATATGGGCACCTAGCTCGTTTCCCTGTGGATGACCATGCCCCTTGATGGTGAGGATGATGGTATATTACACACATATATAATATATATATTTATGTGTGTGTGTGTGTGTGTGTGTGTGTGTGTGTGTGTGTGTGTGTGTGTGTGTGTGTGTGTGTGTGTGTGTGTGTGTGTGTGTACGTACACAAATGAGTGTGTGTGTATACATAAATATATACACATACAGATTTTATATATATATATATATATATATATATATATATATATATATATATATATATACATATATATATTTGCCTATGCTGATTTTGGCATATGCGGCGCGAGAACTAAGGCGCCTACGGCAACAGCTGCATTTGCAGCAGACGATCGAGCAGGAGAGATGCGAACTCGTCAATCACCCGCAGGAAGGCAACAAGAAACCGCTACTACTAATATACATATATATATATATATATATATATATATATATATATATATATATATATATATATATACATATATACATAAACACATATGTACACGTATGTATGTGTGTGTGTGTGTGTGTGTGTGTGTGTGTGTGTGTGTGTGTGTGTGTGTGTGTGTGTGTTTGTGTGTGTGTGTGAGAGAGAGAGGCCCGCCTTGCATAGTTCCTAAATGATCTCCGTAGTGGTATCTGCAAATTGTTATTCCTTTAGTAACAGGTGTACAAATACATTTAATAAATCATTGCCCACGTTTTACCTTAGTATAGCCTATTTATATAGCGCTGGTATTCCACATCTCTTGACACTGTCCAATGTAATTACAATTTTAAACTGATTGGGTAAAACTGCAGATGTCATTTCACAAGGCAGGAGAAACTATGGCGATGAAAGTGTCAGGGCTTGGACGAAAACAGGCAAGGACCGCTCTCTCTAGCAAGCTGAGGATTAAGCAGAGATTTACTGCGGGCAGACCCGAGCTGTGGGCCCATAACAATATACTTGACCTCCTTAGGAGTGATCAAGTATGGCAGCTATACTGGACTCCATTTCGTGATAGTTATTTTACGAGAGGAGGGTCAGAGAGAGAAGTCAGAGAATTAGTGATAACGTGTTACTATTACCCATCAACAATGATAAATTATTAATGCAATGGCAGGATCCATACAAGATCGTAATGAAAGCAAAACGATGGAATTATGTGAGATATGTAAAAGATTCATTTTTTCATCAGTAATTACATATTATGTCCTCAGGGTCTGATATCTTTATAGTTCATATTAGCCATATTTCTTTCATAGATTTAACTCATCAAACTTGTATCATTTAGGTGAGGTAAGTATTAGGAAAAGTTAACAACCTTTAAAAATGTTACACATTTATTAATCGAAAAAATATTATATAGCCAAAATGCAAAGCCAATCACATAAATTGATATGCCAGTAATATAACATTTGAGTTCATTATAATCCAATACAATAACTATGACACCATGAATATCCATTTTTTCACTTTTAACAAGTAGTTTGCAACTTGATTTCAATTTAAGCAAGCTGTTTTCAATTATGAAATTAGAAAAGACAATGTTAATGCTTAAAATGATTATAAAGCAATAAGTCAAAGAATTTCTTTTTCACATGCAGTTGCTGAAATTATAGAAATACTCGTTTCTGTTATTTAGTAAATAAATTGTATTATAGAAATAGTGAAATATCATTCTAGCAAGATGAGATACTTAAACCAAGCAATTAAAATACCAAGGTTATGTCGGTACACAATTACTAAGTCAAAACTTAAGATTATCTCCATTAAGGAGTAAATGAGTACATATCAAGAAAATGGTTAGAAAAATATCTTATAGATGTAAAGCCTTGTACACACTAGTAGACCATATTGCGCGACTTGCCTATAGACCGCCTATAGACGGTCTATAGACATAGTTGCTAGGCCGTCTATAGACACCGTTTCATGTGTGTCTAGTGTCCACACTACAAGTTTAGTATCCCATTTAGTTTCTGTCTCGCAGTCATGGAGGACATTGCTTTGTGCGGGGTGAGCGCATGCCTAGTGGTAATTGTTGGTGAAAAAAAGAGAAAACGCAAACGTTGGTGGTGTCGCAAATTGTTTGGAGAGGGACCTAGATTTGGTGTTGAATTATTGAATAAATTAAGAATGAACGACGCTATGGGTTTCAGAAATTTCACCCGCCTAACACCTATAGATTTCGAAGAGTTACTTCTGATGGTGGGGGGGCAAATAACGAAAGAAGATACCAAATTTAGAGAAACCATACCGGCATCTCTTCGACTTGCTATCACACTGCGATTCCTGGCAAGTGGAGACTCGTACACGAGCCTCATGTACACCTTCAGAATATCGAAGCAGGCAATATCACGAATAGTCCCAGAAGTTTGTGAGGCAATTATTTCAGCACTGAAACAATATGTGAAGGTATGTATATACAACGAATTTTGACTTTAAATTTTATTAGTGCTGTGCTTTCAAACAAATTAAGATATTCAGATTCCTTGTTCGTGTACAGTAAGAAAATGTACGCTAATAATAACATAATAAAAAAAAATATATGGGAAATATACTCCTAAAACATAGTGATAAACACATGAAAATAAGGAAATCAAATTTGAAAATTCTTTAAATATCAACTGCATGATAAAATACAGTACATTCCTGTTTAATGAAATAAACCACATACTTATTTGCTAACATTGATCTTCATAAAGGAAATGATATTTTTCTGTCATTATTATAGTAATTACCTATTAAACTTTTGATTATTGTCCATACTACAATTCCAAGAAATCGAAGGGGTTATTGAGTGTTCCAGCTAGTGACTGTGATTGTTGAGGTGGAACAGGTGATGCAGAAACTGTAGGAACTGGTGAGCAAGGTTGAATAGGAGATGAATGACCACTGAAATGTGATTGTTGAGGTGGAACAGGTGATGCAGAAACTGTAGGAACTGGTGAACAAGGTTGAATAGGAGATGAATGACCACTGAAATGTGGAGAGTGTGGCAAGGGGGAATGTGATGGGATAGAGGTGGGATATGTATGTGACTTGTACATAGATTGAATATCAGCAGATAGCAGTCCCATGTCCAATCGAAATAATATATCATTAATATAACGCTGAGCTAAAGAAATCTCCACCCGGGGCCTCTTACAGGTTTTCATTTTATTTGCGACGAAATCCCCGAATGCTGAATTCTCATCTTTTCCAGAAACAATATGTGTGAGAGATTTCAGGCAGTTTACAGCTTCATTGACAGGGGAGTCTTCACTCTTCCGGGCACGTTTAGGAGGATTTCTTGGTGTTTGGAATGATTGGCCATGGTCCTCTTGTGCAATTTCGTTAATAGAAGTGTCTGCTTGGTCCTCAGTGGCTATTTGGTCCTCAGTGTTGACAGTCTGTGAGGTGTCCTGAAACAGAAAATAATTGTTACATTTTGTTCGAAAGTCTAAGTAGGAGTACCTCGAATTTAACAATATGAACTATATTGTCCCTTCAAGTTAAACCTCTTCATTAACAATAAATCCCCAGCTAATATTCGGGTACAACTTTGTCAATGATGATCATAGGTATTTAAATTTAACATTTTTGCTTGCTCAAATATTTCTATAATTTTTTTTTTCTTGCAGACACCATCTTCCGAAGCTGAATGGAGAACTGTTGTTCATGGATTTGAGACGGGATGGAATTTTCCACACTGCCTAGGGAGCATTGATGGCAAGCATGTGCAAATGGTCGCACCTGACCGTAGCGGCAGCTTGTATTATAACTACAAAGGCACCTTCAGTATAGTATTGCTTGGTGTTGCAGATGCCAACTACAACTTTTTGTACGCTGATGTTGGATGTCAAGGCCGCATTTCCGACGGGGGTGTTTTCAAGTACACCTCATTGTACAATAACCTAGAAAACAAGTCGGCCCATGTACCTAAATGTGAGGCATTGCCAGGTAGAACAGAGCCGGTACCATACATTCTAGTGGGAGATGATGCTTTTGCTATGTCCACGTACTTACTGAAACCATACCCTGGTTGTGCATTAGATATTCCTAAAAGAGTGTTCAATTACAGACTGAGTAGAGCTCGAAGAATTATAGAAAATGTATTTGGAATAATGTCATCTAAATTCAGAGTGTTTCTAAAACCAATGGCTTTACAGCCATGTAAAGTTGAATGTGTGGTGTTATCTTGCGTATATTTACACAACTATTTACGCAAGAATTCTGTTTCAAGACAGAACTACACGCCTCCTGGAACATTAGACTCCTATGATGCAGATGGTAATGTGATAGAAGGATCGTGGAGAAGAGACATTAATGAAAGGGATCGTTTGTTGGATTTGATGGCCATCCCTCGAAGAGCTTCAGCTAACGTACATAATATCCGTGATGAATTTTGTAGCTATTTTGTTTCTCAACAGGGAGCGGTGTCTTGGCAATATGATGTCATAAACTAATATCAGACATGTTGTACAATAATAATAAAGTATGAAAGTTACATCTCAGTATTGAAGTGCCACTTTTTTATTTACATACCTATGTCATAGAATGTTATTTATATATTGTGTACCTAATTAACAAAAGCAAAATCAAACAGCTAGAGAGAGCCGTGGTGTTTCACTTACCTCAAATTCATTGTTTCCACTCTTTGGGATTGCTTCCTCCAAATCTGTGTTACGGCTGCCTCTAGACTCATTAAATGGTAGTAAGAATAGCAAATATTCATATGCAAACCATGTAGACTTCTTAGGAGAGGCCCCACTACACTGTTTTATTTTTTTCGCTCTCGGTTAAAAGAAGTTTTTAAATTATGTATTTTCTTTTCAATATCTGCCACTGTTGCCTCGTGCTTAGTGGCCAGTGATTGAAGCGCTAATTTTTTTTTGTCCCGGTTTTTGTATTCTGCAGAGGTAACATCCCAAAGGCAGCTAAATGCATGGTAATCTTCAATGAAACTTAGAACTTTGTCATTGGGCCACATTTCGATAATTAAACACACTGCCGACACACTTGCTAGCTGGAGAGACACTGATGAGATACGATTCCTATGTCTCGTCTACCGTTGCAGTTGTACACACTAGGAAAAATTTGGGCAACGTGTCTAGCGTTGCCTGACGTAACCCATCGTGATCGGGAAACCATAGACATGCGATTTTGGTCTCTCAACGCAACCGTAGACAAGGATTGGTCTATACACATGTCTACGTAGACATTGCTAGACACGTCTCAGAGACCAAAATCGCGCAACGTGTCTACTAGTGTGTACAAGGCTTAAGATACTTAATCAAACAATTACAAGATTAAACCAATCTCATTAAGCAGTAACAAAATCAATCAAAAATTTACTCCATAAAATACTTAACTAAACTTGCAAACACAGAATTATTCTTATGCTCCACCGGAAATTAATAATCTTTTCTGTTAAATCACACTTCCGTAGAGCTGTTAAAAATAATTAATTAATTGCTTACTTTCTAAACTAACTTCATATATCCGTTTTAATTCAATTATATCCTTCTTATTGGCTTACAACTTGAAAGTCAAATATATAATTATTCCGTCATATAATTCTTACTTCCAAAATTAACTTAAATACATTACTTGGTCCATTATATAGCCACACGTAAATCTAGAAATAATCCCTAATCCTTTTTAATCCACATTATCCGTAGCACATTCCCGCCCACTATGTTCCATCAAGATGAGGCACTAAATCACTTCAACTGGACTTACTAAGATGTGCCGCAAAAATAATCTAATTTAGTTTCACTAATTTGAAAGATACCCGCACCAAGACTTTCCTGTGTCTCAGCAAATTTTCAACGCTACATTTATCACTTTAAACTTTTCCTACCTGCCACCCGAGTTATTTTCTTGTTCCCAAATTGGTACACTATGATATATATTGCGATCAAATAGAACTACTTGTTGTTTTCGCCACTATTTTTTTGTATCTGCGTCTTGACCTTATATTTGGTGTGGAATCCGCTCGAGTCCTCGCGATGTTATTCTATTTTTGATGTGTCGTCCCGGCTTGATTGTTTCGCCCGTTTATGTAGCATTCACTTCGCCTTCGTGTTGTTCACATGGTAATGCCTTTGTATCCGGTAAAACCCGTCTGTTGGAGCACAACATCGAGCTGTACAGAGATAAGCCCATCAACAGTAAACCTTATCCCATTTGCTTTGCAGGATATTGAAAGTGATCTTCAAATCAGGCTTGATTTATGGGTAGTGGAATACTCGGATTCCTCTCATGCAACTCCAGTGATAGCAGTTGAGAGAAAAAAAAATATTCATAGGGGAACTATCTTTAATGTTCAACTAATGCCTGATCCAAATGTTATAATGATTAAGATCGCTAATACCAATTATTTCATTAAAACTTATCAAAGGGTTATTGGCAAACCTCGTCAAGCGAGCGTAGCAAAAAGATCAACGCGTTTCAAACAAGAAAGAGTTTATTACAGTAAATAATAATGACATTCGGACTCGTAAATGCAAATGCATTTCAGCCGAATGATGAGGGTTTTATGTATGAACATGCCGAACGCAGAGACATTCATAGATGCTATTCTGATTCATACAGTTAGTTGGGAAGAACCTATGAAAACCTTAAATCGCGTAATAAGTTTATAAAAGTCAGGGCAGCTCGACCAAGTAAATGTGAAATAAGCAGTTCGCATGTTGAACATTTAGGCAATAGAGTTGGTGGAGGAACATCAACTATCATTAAGGTCATTGTCAATTACATAACTCAAATGCGCATTTCTCTAACGAAAAAAGAAATAAGGTCGTTGGGGGAAATAGTCATCAAGAGGCATTTAATAAACATAGAGACGCGCGTAATGAACTTCCAATATTAAAATTCCCTTGTGTTGATAAGGAATTTATATTGCACACGGACGCCTTGGATATCGATCTTGGAGCTGCCTTGTCGCAGTTACATGCTAATGATCGTTGGCCTGTGTCATACGCTGAACGATAGTTGAGAAGGAATGTTTAGCCATAGTTTGAGGAAGTGAAAAAGTTTATCAATATCTGTATGGGAAAAACTTCATAACCGAAACAGATCAGCATCTGAAATATTTAGTTGGGTGTTTGTATTTGCAACAGTTTGCAATATTTCAGGAGAAGACAGCGCTGATTGTTTAAGCAGAATGGTGATTTGAGCTCTAGTGTAAGAAAATGGCAATCTCGTAATTATGCGGGGGTTGTATATGTCATGAATTTTGCTCAAATACTGAAGTGGCAAGTTAACGGATGATTGTGTTTATGAAACAGCTTTAGGGTGATTGGATAAAACTAGAAAAAGGTGAACAGGTGAGCCGAGAGTTAAGTTTGGATTTACTGTGAGCAGACCCGAGCCGTGGGCCCATAACAATATGCATAACCTCCTTAGGAGTGATTTATGTGGCTGCTGTACTGGACTCCATCTCGTGATATCTGTGGTAACGACCTCGCCAGATTACTTCGAAAATATTCGACAGGAAACCCTATGGTATTTTTTATGTTGACTATTTTTCGAGCTGAAGAAGGTTTTGTGTTATGTACACACACATATATAGATAAAGATAGATATATATATATGTATATATATATACATACATACATATATATATATAGAGATAGATAGATAGATGTATACATATATATACACATATATGTGTTGATGCGTGTGTAATTATATGTATATATACATATATATATATATATATATATATACACATACATGTGTTTATGTATATATATACATATGTGTATATACACGCACGCATTATATATGTATATATACATGTATATGTATATATATGTATATAAACATACACTCATATACTGTGTGTATGTATATATGTATATATGCATATATACAGTATCTGTGTATACAAATATATATATATATATATATATATATATATATATATATATATATATATATATATATATACATATACACGCACACACATATATACATATGTATATGTGAATTCATGTTAAGTAAATTGCAAATAGAACAATGAAGGGAAGTACAGGAAAACACACGAATATGTCGAAGGCCTTTTCGCATTTACTGCTTCATCAGGGCATACAGAACAAGAGGTACATAGAAGTATATATACATATACTTGGCGCTCAGGTCACGTAGGTGATCAGGTGAGCGACGACCTTGGCTAGATCGTGGCTCCCCGTTGCGGTGTTGTTAGTAGAGTGTATGTATGCCGCTTATGCCGCTTCTACCATCTTCCTTTGTCGTGGGGGCAGGCCTTGTTTTATGATGGAGGCCTGGGACCACTTAGGGAGATGGCCGACGTGAACAACGAAGGTGCTCCTCTTGTCATGTCGTCGGAGGGCGCTGCGGTGTTGGTCGATTCGTTCGTCGAGGCCTCGTCCTGTCTCACCTATGTAAATTTTATCGCAGCCGCCGCAAGGTATGCTGTACATCTGGCTAAGAGGTCTGTTGTGGTCTAACCTCTTCTCCCTTACGATCTTCTTCCCGGACGTATTGGCTATCTTCATCGTATGGCCCAACAGGGCCTCCAGGTGATGCGTCAGCTTCGAGTGTGGGATGATGATCCTGTGTGTTTTGTTCTGTGTGGCGTCCCCTCTTGATCTGGACATGATCTTTTCTGCCTTGCGTCGGAAGTGGGCGAGCAAGGTGCAAGGGTAACGGAGGCGTTGGAAGGTGTTGTTGGCGTGTTGCATTTCCTCCTCCAGGTGCTCGGAGGAAGAAACCAATGACCACGCCTTCTTTGATTCTATTGCTGTGGAGAAAGTATATAAAATCATCTTTATTAGTTGGTTTTCTATACACAGAGAATACCGGGCCGTCAGGTTTCCTATGGATTACGGTGTCGAGGAAAGGTAGCTGTTCGTTTCTCTTCTCTTCTCCACGCAAAGGCGGATGAGTGCGACAAAATCATCCATCGGCAGCGGTAGTTTATCCTCGTCCATTCCTGTCAGCGTTCTTTTCGCAGCTTCGATGACCCCGTCAATCGGTACGTTCGTAAAAAGAGATTTGACGTCGAAGCTGACAAGCTTTTTGCATCTCATCTCGACGTTTTGCAGTTTTGTCATCATATCGAAGGTGTTTGATAAATGATAACCGCTGATGGAGTTTAAGGCGCTCGAGAGAGGTGCTCCGAGTTTTTTGGCTAGCCGGTGTGGGTGGTGATGGGTCCCACGGGGTTTCCTTCTTTGTGGGTTTTGATGTTCTCACGGATCGTCGGCGTGCGTGGTGTCTCCTCGAGCAAATGCAGCAAAGCCTTCCCCTTGTCTAAACTCTAGGGACCTCGCCTCCGTGTTTCCAGTCCTAGCTTTCCTGTAGGTAGAAACATCCGAGAGCAGTACTTCCATTTTGGTTACATAGTCAGAGCTATCAATCATAGCTACACCGCCACCCTTATCGGCCGGAACAATGGCGATGGATTCGTCTCTGCCAAGTTCCTGTAGGGCCTTAAAGTACCTAGCAGGAATGGCAGAATCACGTCCTCTGGCGCTGGCGACTGCACAAGTCACAACTCCCTGCAGGAACCCTCTCTCAATTACAGAGAGATTCTTGCGGTAGTTAGACTCGATGAAATCAGCCATGCCTTTTCTAAGGGTACCGGTGTCGAATTTTAAACCTAACGACAGGATTGTCTTTGCGTTTCTGTGAGAGGTTTGTGTGACAGTTTAACTATCAAGTCATTACGCACCACTGCAGACCAGCCGCTATTAGTACAAGCATCTTCTAACAATCTCTTGTGTCTCGCCTTCTGTAGTTCGTCCTTTTTTCCAAGTTCGAGGACGAGTCTGTGGGGAAGGTAGGCTTCCGGAAGGCGGTTCCTCAGCGTCTCCATCTCATCGATTCTCTCACTAATCCTTTCCTTCAGGTAACACTTGGCACTGTCAGGAAACGGGTGAGACTTACCTTTGAAATGGGGGGATGCGCTACGAGGGAGAACCTGCTCCTTCACGCACTCCTTCAGGAACTTCATGCGGTTTCTGATG